AATCGCTCTCCGGGCGCTCTGGAGTCGCGCTCTCGCTGGAGACTTTCTTGCAACTTACTGAAGAATGGCCTTGCGTTGGAAGTTCTTGCAATTTGCCCAAGCGCCGCGCTCCCGACACCCAGGCACCCAGGAGTCGCGCCCGTTGTGGCCCCATGTGCATGCCCTTCGTGGCCCCGCTGTCGCCATTTGTGTCCCCCTCATTGTCCTACGTGGCCCAGTTGCTACCCTCAGTGGCCCCATAGTTGCCTTTTGTGGCCCCGCATTATCTGCACTTCGTGGCCCCCGCTCGTTCGCGCTCTTCGTGGCCCCATACGCATTCCCTTCGTGTCCCCGCTGTCGCCCTTCGTGGCCTACTTCGTGCCCTTCGTGGCCCTGCTGTCGTTCTCTCTCGCTCTCGCTTTCGTTCGTCGTCGCCGTCGTCGTCGTCGTCGCCGTCGTCTTCGACGTCGTCGTCGTCGTCGTCGTCGTCGTCGTCGTCGTCGTCGTCGTCGTGGTCGGTCCCCTGTCCGTCCCTCTTGGGGTCGTGTCGACGGTCCGCGGCCGCCCCGCCGATCAGCGCTGCCGCTGGCCAGGCCGACGGTCCGCGGCCGCCCCGCCGCTTGCCCGGGCCGGGCCTGCAGGGAAGAAAGGTAAACCCCCCTTAAGGGGTTCGATCGAAGACGAAGAGGGCGGGTATCGAGGGTGTGGGAAACACGCGTTATTGGACACTCGAGCAATATATAGGGCGAACAGGTCTTAAAAATGATTGTTTGCGTTGTTGTTTGTGGTGTTGTTGTTTTGTTGCTTGTTTTTTTCCTTCCTTGTTGTTTGTTGATTTTTTTTGTTTGTTTTCTCTTTCTTCTCCTTATTGTTTGTTGTCGTCGTCCCCCCCAGCGACCCCTCCCGCGACTCACCTACCACCCACCCCGACCCAGCCCGCCACCCGGCCCCGCGACCCACCCGCAACCACCCGCGACCGTCCCCGAAACCCGCCCGCGAACCACGCACACCTCGCGACCCATTTGCTACCCACGCCGCCTACCCACCCGCAAACCCACACCCCGCGAACACCCACTCATGCTATAATTTGTTTGAATAGTCGCGTGCGGCGGCCCTTCTTCTTCTGGAGCCTCGAAAGCTGCAGGCGTCCCCCCGGGGCCGCCCCCTCACTCATATCCGAAAAATTGCGGGTGTTTAACGTTGACGGTTTACGTACGGAAAAGGAATGGGGATGATGGAAAGGAGGAGGAGTAGGAGTAGGAGGAGGAGGAGGATAAGGAGCGATAGGAAGAGGAGGAGGAGGAGGCGGAGGAGGAGGAGGAGGAGAAGAAAGAGGAGGAGGACAGCGGCGGCGGCTGCGGGCGATGGCGACCGCGACCGCTGCGCGCCCGAGGAGGAGAGGAAGCGCGCGGAGCGCGAGGCTGCGGAGCAGAGGCGGCGCCAGAGGGAGCGGGAGGAGGAGGACCGCCGGAGGGAGCAGGAGAAGAAGAGGCGCCGGGAGGAGGACCCCTCGGGGACGCCGCCGCGGTCGTCTCGGCTACACACCGCGTAGGAGTGACCCGTAGCCGGGGTGACCTTTGGTGCGGGCCCGCAGGGGTAACCCCAGCACTGGCTGGCGCGCTCGAGCTGCTAGGATCTGGCCTCCCCCGCCGCCCCCCCCCCCTATGGCCGCGCAGGAAACAGGTCACTCGTGCCTAGGGTCACTCTTGCGTGCAGCCGGTCGTCGCCTCCGTCGTCATTGCTTTTGAATCCCCACTTCTGGAAGACACGCTGTATGCTTCTCCACCCGCGGGCCGGCATCATGCCTTTGCTGTTGAAATGCCCCCCATGGGGCTCGCCCCTTCAATTTTGTGGTCAGGGAATGTATTGGGCCTCAAGCTGGATTTGTGCCCCCCCCGGCTACAACTGACACTTCATCACAATTTAAATCGGAACCGCGCTTTCGCTCGAGACATCTTCATAATATACTCAAGAATCGCGCTCTCGCCTGGACTTTCTGTTAATTTTGGAAGGAGTCCGCGCTCTCGCTTCGGACGTCCGCGCTCTCGCTTCGGACGTCTTTGCAATTTAGCCAGGAAGCGCGCTTTCGCCTCTCAGGATTTGCATTTTCGCCCAGGCCTTCTTTGCATACTACGTAGGAATAGCGCCCTCGCCACACAACTATTCCCCTCAGATTTATCCACGAATCGCGCTTTAATGTCTGGCCCGCCTTGCCCGCCCGTTAGGATCCACCCGCCCGACCCGCCCGCTTGGGCCTGCCCGCCCTATCCGCCTGTGAGGGTCCACCCGCCCGACCCGCCCATTGGGGTCGATCCTTAAGTCGGGCGTGTCCCCCTACAGAGGGATTTCCGACGAAAAATTCAAAAATACCGCAGAAAAAATCCCAAAATTGCCAAAAAAATACCCCCAACATAGTCCCCAGACTATTTCTGGACTATGTTCTGACTATTTCTGGGGCATCTTTTTGGTTTTCGTCGAAACTCCCCCTGTAGGGGGGACAGGCCCGACTTGAGTCTGCCCGCCCGATCTCTTCGGGGTCCTGCCGCCCGCTTCCACGGAGGCCCGCCCGCCCGCTCGAGCTTCCCGCCCGCCCACTCCGCCCCGTCGGGGTCCACCCGCCCGACCCGCCCGATTGGGTCTGCCCGCCCTATCCGCCCGTGAGGGTCCGCCCGCCCGACCCGCCCACTGTCAAGCTCATGTTCTGAGAACATTGCTTTGGTTCTTAGAACATTTTTGGGTTCTAAGAACATTGCTTTTGTTCTTAGAACATTGTTTTTGTTCTTAGAACCTTTCGGTGGTTTCCACGAAACGTTCTTAGAACACTTCTGGTCGGGGCTGTCGTGTTGTAGCACATCGGGTTTATGTGCTAAGAGCATTGCTTTGGTTCTTAGAACATTTGTGGGTTCTAAGAACATCTCGGACTGCCGGGACAGTCGGTCCCTGCTCAACATTGGCCGGGATTCAAGAGACGGGGGTCAATGCAAACGGGGGTCAGCCAGGGCACCAGATCCTGGATCCTGCGAAGACCCCCTCTGGCTGACCCGGGTCAGCGAGCCGCTCGTGGTCGCGAGGCGGCCGTGCCGATTGGCTGACCCGGGGTTGCGAAGACCTGCGTTGCAGTTTTTTTTTGTTATTGCATTTCTGTTGTTTGGTTTCCTGCTGACCTGGGTCAGAAGATTCCCGATTTGTTCTGAGAGCATTGTTTTTGTTATTGGAACAGTTTGGGTCAGAAGTTGTTGTTCTGAGAGCATTGTTTTTGTTCTTGGAGCATCTTAGGGTTCTACGAACATCTCGTGGTAGGACTATAGGAATGCCGGGACGGCCGGCCCCTGCTCAACATTCTGCACGAACGAGATGGGCACGGAAAGCATGGGTACGATGCCCAACAGCAGTTCCTGTTCATTTCGGTTTGGGGCAACGTGTGTTGTTCGGCACTGTGCCCATTCTTTCCGTACCGATCTCGGGCGTCCAAAAAAACGTTGGGGCCTGCCCGCCCGATCTCCTCGGGGCCCTGCCGGCCGCTTCCGCGGAGGCCCGCCCGCCCAGCCCGAGCTCTTCCCGCCCGCCCGATCTCCGCCCCGGCCGGGGTCCGCCCGCCCAGCCTCGTGTGTCCCTGCAGGGGGAACTCTCAGCGAAAAGCATTCAAAGAATATTCAAAAATACCCCCAAATACCCAAGAATGCTCAACAAATACCCAAGAATACCTCAAGAAGGCCAACAAATACTAAAAGAAAATAGTCCCCTGACTATGTTTGGACTATGTTTGATTATGTTTGGGGAATCGTTTATTTTTCGTCGAAATACATTCAAAAACAGCTTTGGTTCTCGACGAAAAGCATTTCCCAAATATGCAAAAATTCAAAACATACCCAAACATATTCAAAACATATTCAAACATACCCCAAGAAGGTCAAAACATACTCAAAACAGTAGTCCCCAGACCATGTTTGGACTATTGTTTTTGATTATTTTTGGGGTATCTTGTATTTTTCGTCGACAATCCCCCTGTAGGGGGACACGCCCGACATAAGCCCAGCCCGCGCCCGCTGGGGTCGGTCCCTCCGATCTGTCCAGTACGATCCGCCCGCCCGACTCGGTTGAGCTACCGTTTCGGGGTGTCCCCAAGAGCAGGGGCACCTTGATAAACCAAGAGGGCGGGAGTCGAGGGTCCGTAGTCGTTTTGGCTCAAGCGCGAGGGCGGATCAGGCGATTTTGCGTTTTTGGGGTCCGATTTCGCGCACATGCAGATCACGAAATTCTCCCGCGCGTTCGATGCAGTGATCTTCACCCTGTTCCTGCTGTTTCTGGCGGGCTTCAGCCTGTTCGGTCTGGGAGAGCTGCACAAGATGGGGGTCGCAAACCTGGAGAGCTCTGGCAAGAAGAAAAAGAAGGCGTTCTCGTTCGCGATGCTGGTGAACAAGATGCTCCCCTTCCCAGACAACAAGTTCGAGTTTAACCTGACCCATGTCTTGCTTTTTGGCATGCTTATCGCAGTGCTGAGCCTGAATCACCATCGTGCTCAGGACGAGGTCGAGCAGAAGCACGAGAAGCAGAAGAAAAAGGCGGATGAGGCCGAGCAGAGGCAGAAGCGCGAGGCCGAGGCTGCACGACGAGAGAAGGAGGAGGCGAGTAAGGAGAATGCTTCCAACACGGCTGAGGCGGCGACAGAGAAGCCCAAGCAGAAGGGCGCGAAGTAGGCCAGGTCTTAGCATATTAAGGCTCTGTCACCAGCGAGGCTTGAAACAAAAGAGGGAGGGCGTCGAGGGGTTGTGGTAGGGATGTTGAGCTGCACGCGAGCAATGAAGAGCGATCATTCTTCACATTTCTGACGCTTCGCGTGTCCCCACCAGCCCAGTCTAACACAATCTCTAAACAAACATCAGAGATGTGAACCAGCATGCAGTCAAGGCCTGGGATCATCCTGGAGGCTCTTTGGAGCCATCGTGGGGTTCTCTTTGGAGCCTCCTGGGGGTCCTCTCGGGGGCCTTGAGGGGCCTCTTGGGGCCATCTTTGGGGGCCCTCGATCGAAGCAGAGGGCTGCGCTCATGCCAGTCCCCCCGGTCGGTGCCCTCCGCACCGCCACTCGGGGCCCTCTGGGGGCGCTCCTGGCGCAATATTGGGCCACGGTTGGGGCTCTCTTGGGCCATTTGTGGGCCATCGTGAGGCCCCGAGGGCCCATCGGAAACGAAGAAGCGACAAAACAGAGAACAATGCGTTGCCTTGGGCGGTGGTAGGATCTGGGCCTCTCGGGGTGTCCTTGGGAGGCTCCGTGGACTTGGGTCCGTCGTGGGGCGGTCATGGCGCCTCTTGGGGGCATGCTGGGAGCTGTATCAAGCCATCGTGGGCCATGGTGTGCGATCTTAGAGGCCATCGTGGGCTGCTGGGGGCCATCTTGGGCCATTCTTGACGCTCTGCCCAGTCGCGGCTGGGCCCGTCCAGCCCGACCCAGGGAGAGGGGTGAGGGGGAGAGGTGCACACTGTTCATGTCCAATTCTAAGTTCTTTGATTTTTGTTTGGGGCCAAGATCCTTTCATTTCTAATTGTTCTATCCTGGGCCTTTTCCTGGCCACTGGGGGGCCAGGAACAATCAGGAACGAGCACAATTAACAATGAGCACGATCAGAAATGCACGACGTGTAAGCCTTCCCAAAGGCGACGAAGGAGGTTGGAAGAACTAACTTCCTGAATCACCTGCGCCCAACGGTCTGGTGGGATAATTGCGGTTGTCGTCGTCTGCCTCCACATCCCCTTCATCCTTCCTTTCCCTGCTCCTGCGTGGCCAGTTTGACTCAAGATGGTTTTGCAAATGGTAGTGCACGGATGCCGCTGATCCGTGGCCAGTAACAGCCTCTTATCTCGGATCTCCGTCTGCGTGGCCGTACCAGCCAGCCGTTGCGGATCCCGCGGCCGACCCACGTTGAGAAGAATTAAGAAGCTCAGCGGACGAGATCGACCAGAGTGCTGTCGGCGGTTGCGGAAAAGCTACCTGTCGCGGCCACGCAAAGTGTGGAGCCGATATTCTAAAAGTTTGAGGGGATCGCGCTCAAACGCTGCAGGCTCGCCGACAATCGCATCCGTGAGGTCTACGGCCACGAGGATGCCGTCGAGCGGCCGACCAATGACTTGCAGCTCCGCGTCCGCCGCTCAGAGGACCAGCTCGACGAGGCCAATCGCGCTAACAGGCCCCCGATCGCCACCACCTCCGATGGAGGCCACCAGGCGGGCACCGCGGTCTTCACGGCCCGTGCGAGGAGGATGCGGGCCAGCGCGGCGCGGAGATGGTGCTCTCTACTGGGCAGGGCAGTGTTTGAGATAGGGGAACACAAAGTGGCATAAACATAAAAACTCGGAGGTCCGCGCGGATTTCTCGGATCGGCCCTGGGGCCCCCCGGCGGCGCCTCCGGCGCCGCCCCTGGCGCGCTCCGCGCGCCAGGGAGGGGGGTCCAGCGCCGATCCGAGGTATCCGCGCGGACCTCCGAGTTTCTATGCTTATGCCACTTTGTGTTCCCCTATGAGACCATCTGGGCGACCCGCGCAAGCTTTACGGCGGCACTCTTGGCCGCCGCTTCGCGTGCCGATTCGATAGCACAAGCGCGACGGCGGAGCAGCGGGTGGCCAGTGTTCACGCTGCTCTTCGGGATTCCATGGGGCGCGTGGCAGCTGCGAGAATCGCGGCACCTCCGGCGAAGCCCGCCCAGGCACCGGCGGCAATCATGATCTAGCGGTGCCGACGCACCCTTTCGAATGGACGCTGGTGGTTGCGGCTGTTATCAGAGCGTGAATTACCTACCCCGCTTTCGCTTCCAGGCAAAACCAAGTCATACCACGCGCCTCCTCGTCAAGCGGCCTGACCAGTACAGGCCGTAGTTTGGCATCGCTTGGTATCTCTTGGAAGCGAGGGTGGCCAAAAGCGAGGTAGGCTTGTTTGCCCCAGATGTTAGTCTCCAGTCAGTGAGAACGCACTTGCAGCAGACTTTGGCTCGAGCTTGGTTTGAGCGTCTGCGCGGCAGCGAGATTGACACCAACACCAATATCGGCGCTGTTCCTCCACCGAGGGAAGAAAGATCCCGATCTCGGTGATGGTGGTAGTATGTTGGCTTCAAGGTGGCCGAAGTACTACCACCAACATCGAAATCTAGGATCATCTCCCCCCTGTGGAGGCAGAACCCTTGTCTTGGTGTTGGTGCCGATTTCTAGGCCTCCAATTCTGCGCGGCAGCGAGCAGATTCGATGCGTCGCCGCGCACCCTGCTCGGACGCGCGGCCTCCCGCCCTGGGCAGGGCGCCTCGCTCCCCGTGGGCAGGCTCTCCTGCCTTGCGCGCGCGAGGCTCGCTGGGGGCTTTCTCTCCCGCGGTGCCGGCCTGGTCGACCTGGGCGCGCTGAGAACGCACGGCGCGGCGACGGTGACTCAGGAGGAAGAGAAACACACAGACACAATTGATCCTCGATTCCCACGAAAATCTGGGAAACCATGGGCTGTGGGGGGGAAGACAGAGACCCAGAAGATAGGGGAAAATATGGGGAATGCTTTTCTTTGAGTGTATTTATTTGAGTGCCCCAGGGCCCCATTCAGTGACGCGCGGAACCCCGCCCGCTGCTTAACTACGGCCCTTGCCCGCGGCACCCCCGCTGCAGCGCGTGCGCTCCCCCCCGGCGCGCGCCGGCGCGCGCCGCCCGCGGCGCGCGGGCGCGACGCGGGCGACGCGCCCCCGTCCAGCGCTGAGCCCCCAAGACGGACCCAAGAGGCCTTCAAGATGCCCTAGATTCGGCGACTACGAAGGGTGTGGTTACGCCGGGATGTGGTTTGCGATCGGCACCGTCGGGGCCTGGGGGGCACGACACTGTCCTCGTCGGGCGTCCTCGGGGTGCGGCGGAGGGCTCTGTCGAGGTCCTCGCCCGCCCCCCAGGATGCCCCTCAGGGTGCTGGTTGCAAACCACACCCTTTGCAAACCACACCCTTCGGAGTCGCCGATAGATGACCTCCAAGACTACCCTGAAGCGCCCGAAGAGGGCCCCAGTCGGTTCAGAGAGGCCCCCGAGACGGTTTCCAACGGCGTGCGATGGGCTAGGAACGCCCCAGGACTGCCAAAGAAGACCTCAAGAAGCCCCAACCGTACCCCAGGAGGCCCAAGGAGGCCCCCAAGAAGCCTCCAAGAGGCCTCCAGGAAGCTCCCAGGCCGAGAGCACGGCCTGGGCCCCGGCGAGCGGCGCGGCGGGATGCGGCGCGCAGCTCGGCGGCGAGCGAGGGGGGGGGGAAGGGCAACGAGGAGTAAGTCGGGCCTGTCCCCCTACGAGGGAACGGGAAGGGGAACGAGGAGTTTTTCGACGAAAAATAAAAAATCCCTCCAAAAATAGTCCAAAAATAATCCGAAAATAGTCTGGGGACTATTTTTTGGAATATCCTTTTTGGAGTATGTTTGGGATATTGAAAGTTTTTCGTCGAAAATCCCCCTGTAGGGGGACACGCCCGACCTGAAACGAGGAGGCTTTCTCAGGCTGCGGCGGGGCTCCTCAGAAGCCCTCTGGCCCTCTGGGGAGTGCCCTGTGCCCTCGGGGAAGGCCGGGGGACAGCTGCTCAGAAGGCCGGGGCCGCCCCCCCTCTCATTTCCCCCCCGGGCTGGTCGCCGAACAGTGAGGGGTTCACAAAAGAACGGTGCAGTTCTTTTTGGTTTGAGGCCACTCCACCTCCGGTCCCATCGTCGACGATGCTCGTTCGATGCTGCACCGTAGGCAGTTTGGCCCGAAGAGTCCTTCGGGGGCGAAACGCGTGTATGGATACAGTCAGGGGCTGCCTGACCTTTCTGGAAGAACAAACGAGTGAGGCCTGTTGCAGTCTAGGGCTGCCCAAGAGCATTCGGAATACGGAGCCGCAGAGAAAAGAAAAACACCCCTCAGAAGATGCACTGCCTCAAGAACTTGCTTTACAAGACACAAGAACTGTGCCGAATGCTCGACGTATGCAGCCGCCCAACTGGACACATGAACACGTAAGGAAGCGGCAGCATGGATGACTACTGCACGAACACAAAAGAAAGCAGGCTATATATGTCCTTCTCTGTCACGTGTAAAGCTCGGGCCGGCTGGTTTTAGAACCGCCGGCGCATTCACCACGGCAAAAGGACGACTTCCTTGGCTTCCTTGCCGAAGCGCTTTTCGGATCCGCCCGAGATTGTGAAGAATCTGGGGCTAGAACAGATGACGCTGCAAGAGATCTCCCCAGAGTGTGGCAAGAACTCGCCTCATCGGCTGCTTCAATTCGTCGCGAATGTGCCCGCCAAGGATGGCGGAGCTAATCTGGCGGCGTGCTTATCAACGCGGGTACGTCGGGGATGCGGGGGTGAACGAGAGCCGGCCAGACGTAGAGCAGGTGCCAGAGCGAGCTCTGCAGCAAGACTTCCCCCGAGGTCTGCGCTTTGGCCGACTGCACCTGCTAGATGTGGAATGGCCTCAACGCGAGGCTGAAGGCCATCAGGAAGAAGAGGAAAGGCAAAACGCGTAGCCTCTTTCTTCTTCGCGCTTGAGACTCGGTCCAGAACACGTGGATCACGGACCACCGCATGCCGAGAGCTTGGCGCGGGCGCATTATCTGATTATGGTGGGGGGAGGGTCGACCATTTCGAATAGCATATCGTGCGTTCCCCCACGTCGCGGCGTATGCTCTACGCTAGTCCATCCCCCGCGTCATCTGCCGATCTTCTCGGCCTCGTCGCTACTGCCCCCGATCCCCCGATCCCTCGAGGGGTGTCATCTGTGTCACGGCCTTTTGTTTGCTATCGCAACCCAATCACAATACAAACCTTGTGATCTTG